TTACTCCTGTAAAATGTAAACTAAGTATCACAGTGCTAGTGTCATTTGGTGATAATAATCTAATTTCTTAATGGATGTACCCGATTACAAGTGATTATAGCACATCTATTCTATGAAAAATGCCTTTTTAGAATTACAGGGTCTGAAGAAGAATGACATGCTGAGAACAAAGACAATATGTACCATGAGTAGGGATGAACTTAAAGTGGTTGTAAAGGCTCATGGTTTTTTGCCTTCATGCATTTTATGCATGAAATTTAAAAACCTTCTATGTACAGTAGCACCCCCAACCCCCTCAGTACTTACTTGAGCCCCATTGCGATCCAACGATGTGCACGACAGCCTCAGCTGCCCTGGGTCTCTGCCTCCTCAGTGGCTGAGACACCAAGCAGGAACCATTGGCTCCCACTGCTGTCAATCACAGCTTGTCAGCCAATGAGGCGAGAGAGGGAGCTGGACACAAGGAGCAGAAGCTCGGGAACACACCTTCTTGGTGTAGTATGCTTACTATGGGGCACCTGACAGAAAGGAGGAGCCAGGAGTGTAGGTAAGCCAGGAGCAGGTAAGTATAGGCATATTTGTTATTTAAAAAAAAAAAATGAACCTTTAGTATTGCTTTAAGGATCATTGTGAACAAAGTTTATACCAAATCTTGGCTGTTCAGGTAGGAGCTGACTGTCAAGTATAATAGTGGTATTACTATCTTTTATAAACATGGTAGCTTCCTGCTGTTAATGGATGTTAGGGATGCTGGTGGCTGCAGGCAATGCCGGATACTTATCAACCACTGATATCACCAGCCCTATTAAGTTACATGCCTGAGAATCCCCACCTTTGTAAAGTATTGTGCTTACATGGTATAGGGGTTGCCTCATAATTTATACCAGGCCCTTCAGGGACCACATAAAAAAATAGAAAAAAAAAAGCATGAGGTCCCCATGATGCAATTTTAAGGGGAACCCCCACAAGAAAAAAAAAATCAAGAATAAAAAGAGTGAACTCCCCAAACATATTTATACCAGGCCCTTATCTGAGCATGCAGCCTGTCAGGGTTGTGGGGAAATGGCCCTTTTCCTTGTTTTCAAGATGGGGATTAGTGCTTTGCCATGGGGGTTAGGTAATGTTTAGAAGGTTTGAAGCATACAGGATAGAGCCTCCAGCACCACACAGGACAGAGTCTCCATCTCTTAGAACCCTGACCCCAAAGAGAGGACAAGGTCTCCAAGAAAAGGCCAGCTGGTCCCCCTGCTGCATCCAGTGAGTAAGAAGCAGCTTGCTTTAAGCATGCTTCTAGTCTGATCATTGGCCACGCTATATAATGGAGGGACCTGTAGCAGAAACAGCATCTTGAGTTAAGTATTCTTGTTATATTTTTTTATTTTTATCTGTATCTGCCATTACTTAAGTGTTTTAATAAGTGTTTTGCTTATAAGTATTTATGTGATCTCTCTTTGCACATATCGAATACAACCCCAAAACCCTAACAAAACAGTTATATGTTCCCTAGGGCCGTGCCCATTCCATTCTGTTTTGTTACACCCCCTTGCTTATTATCCCAGAAATTGAGAATTTTTTATATAACAGATTTATCTCCCATTGAATTCAATGGTGTACAGGATCAGCATTAGAACTTCTTTGAAGTTTGCACAACAATGCTTGAGCCGAAGCCAGGACAGTTTAGCTTATTCCTTCCAAAAAGCAGGGACACAAACAGATGTCACCAGGAAAAATCATTGCATTATGCATCATTCACTCTCAATTGCCAATTACCTTCTTGTGTTGAGGTACACAAATATAATCCAAAGAAGCTGCAGGTCTAAAAAACTAAAGAGGTAATTTAATGCTTGGGGTGAGAATATTAATGAGTTAGAAAAACTGTCTAGTCAACTAGAAAGTGAGATTGGTGTCAAATGATATACCAGACCTACTGTTAGAGAGGCTACCTATATGTTTACGTTCATTAGACAATCATTATTACTAATTGTAAACTATTTTTAAGATGATCCCCTTGCAAACAGCTAAATACACAGATAAGATGCATCATAACTGATTGGCTCCTTGTGCTGCTTCTCCTTCCCCCAGTATGAACTCTGCTGTACAGGGGCTGCTGATGCCAAGTCAGTTGCAGGTACTTATACTAACTGTTAAAAAAAATAAGGATGTATTTCAACTTTGAAGGAAAGATTACATTTAATTCTTAAAATTCTAGTTGCCTGTTTGTCAGAATGACTCTCTGCCTTCAATACTTTGTGTCATTAACCCAGAACAGGGATGCAACAAAAGACTTCTGACTTTACTATGACTTTCCTGATATTCACACTTGTTCTGGTTCAATGGATCAGAAAGTATTTAAAGTGTTAGTAAAGTAAGACTCACAAAAACTGTTGACCGGCAAGGTTTTTATAATAGAAGAGATCTTAGAGGTCTCTATCATAAATGCCCCCCTGCTTGTCAACGGGTAATATGATCTAACATGATCAACTAAAACTATGTGATTCTGTGTGGCATTTAAAAAAGGGTCAGGGACTTTTTACCCCGTGTTTCCCACATGTACAGCAGCCCATTCAAATGAAGGGGCTGCTGTTCCCGCACATACATGCCTGTACAGACCAGCACAGATGGGAACCTAGACTTAAGAAAGGTTTAAAGGTTTGGTTCACCTTTACCAAAAAATTGCCAATGCAGATAAGGGGTGTCTGTAAACAGTTCAGTTTGGACTAAAGTTGAATAATGCCCTTGCTATAGGTGTAGGCCATTTACGTGTAACACCCTCCTAGATGGAAGGATGCTGCATTTTTGTTGCCAGGCAAAATTAGCTTAGCTCACTGTAGTCAGTACAGCTGCATGTAATTTTTTAGGGGTTACCCTGTGTTTCACAGGCTGCAGATTTAATTCCTCTCACTCTGTATCTCCAGAGTCACTTGGAGGGTTCTGGAACATAGGTGTGGAGTAATGTAAATTCGCAGCATGAATATTTGTACAGTCCCAACCAATCTTAGTGGGCCCTGCACAGGTGGCTGCTGGGAAGTGGGCATAAATAGTCTGAGACCTAATGTCCATTTGTCTTGTCCTGAAGAAGATGAGTCCAGCCTGGATGGCCTGCTGCTCTCGGGCAGTCCTTCCATGTGCTTGCTGTTTGTGAGGCCTCAGCTGGGATAGCTGATAGGCCTGGAAGCTTACTGAGGGACTATTTCTTAGTCCTCTTAGTTAGTGTCCTCATCTTGTACATAGTACTGTATTTTTTTGGAGCATCCTATTCATTACTAATCTCTATCCAAGTTACCCCTAAAAATTAAAACACCAAAAAGAAGCCCCTGGATTGTTTACTGAGCCAAAGAGTGACTGTGTTCATGTGCCTGACTGGAGTGTGAAACTATGGGAATATATCTCCTATCTAACTGCTGGCTCTTACACGGTTCCGCTACATATAAACCTCATGAAGCCTGACCTGAAAACTCCCAGGATTTTGCTGGGACATTTACTAAGGCCCAGCTGTAAATGCTATACTACTAGTGTACTATGCTGTACTAAACTATACTAAAGTATAAATACTCTATCAGTGAAATTAGAATATTAAGAATATTACGTAAATTATTTGTATAAAACAATGCTGCACCAAATCAAAAATAAGTGCAAGTACAAAGTGGTATTAAGTGCAAACATTTATTAAAATACAGCTTACCAATCCCATGTACTAGCTGCATTAGTGTTCCTTTTCTTATGCTTTCTTTCCTTTATATTCACCTGGTGATCTAGCCAGCAAGTCTCTTATTTTTCAAAAGAACAAGCTGTCTTGTAGATATAACAATTACAGGGATGAGACAACCATTTACTACTAACATGGTTGCATACAATTGTCAGCTTTTTAAAATGTATTTATGTAAAACTTCATCCCAAATAAAAAAAAACAAACTGTTTCTGTATCTGCTTCTAAATATTTAGCTTGAGTTTGGCTTCAATTGGTTAGTATATCTAACTCTGCTAGTAAATCCAACACCTCCTTCCCCCCAAGACTGACAATGCTGCTGCCCAAAGGTGTCCCTGTGCTCATTCATCCAGAGTGGGGACACTCTAATACAGGGACTGTGTTACTGGCCAGATCACTTGGTGAAAAACAGAAGGAAGCAGAAGGAAAAAAGCTTAAGAAGGAAACCTAATGCAGACACCACATCTAATGACTGGTAACCTGCAATATATTACATTTTTGATTTTGAGTTTAGTAAAGCCTTAAAAATAAATGTGAAATAACCCACTGATGCACAGAAAAATAGCTATTTAACAACCATAGACCATCCCTGCTGTCTCTGTTGTCATTTCATGGAAAATAAAAGTAAGAAGTGACAGTAGAGGACCACACCCAGGAAGGAGCCTGACCATGGCTTGGAGTGGGAGCTCGATGTGAGGGCTCCTGGCTCCCAAGCACCTCCAGTGTCCTGCAGAGAAGGGGAGAGATGTGCAGGAAGCCCTGGAAAGACTAGCCGAGGAGAGGGGGGCTGCCTGGTGTGGACCGAGGACCTCCGGGAGTGGCGGCCATTGCGGCGGGTCTTCCTGTACTCTCGGCCCAATGCTGTGTGTTCCTTGGAGCTCAGTGGATGCCGGGCGAGCAGGTGATCTGCCACAAGAGAGCTCTGGGAGGCAGAGGAGCCGGCTGGCGTTTCTTGGAGCAAGGGAGACGCCGTCTCTCTTCATCCTGCACACAGGACCGTGGCAGTTGGGAGACACGCTGAAAACAGGCTGGGTAAACCACCCCTACAATCCACTCATTGTTTGAGGGGAATGTCGAGTGCAATGTTCCCCAGAAGAGAGCACCTGGAGCCGCCTCACCCCTCACTTGGAGTAAAGGAAGAGATGTCCTAAAGTGCGGGAAAGTCTCTCAGAGAAGTTCAATCTCTATGAAACCAGAGATCTCACATAGGGGAGAAGTATTCCTGTTTCGAGTGCAGGAAATGTTTTTCATGTAAGTCCTATTTTTATATATACCAGTGATAATACAAGAGAGAGAGCATCCATACCCTTGTTCAGAATGCGGGAAATGTTTTTCATAGAGGTTCAGCCTGTATATATATCAGAGAGCTCACATGAGGAAGATGCTATATCCCTGTTCTAAGTGCGGGAAATATTTTCTCAGATAAGTCTAGACTTTACATATATCAAAGATCTTACACAGGTGAAAAGCCATATGTCTGTCCTGAGTGCGGAAAATACTTTTCAGTGAACCTTAGTCTTCACACACATCAGAGATCTTACACGAGGAGAAGTTGCATACCTGTCCGGAGTGCGGGAAATATTTTTCATGTAAGTCCTATTTTTATATATACCAGTGATAACACAAGAGGGAGCAGCCATACTCTTGTTCAGAATGCGGGAAATGTTTTACATAGAAGTCCAGCCTGTATATATATCAGAGAGCTCACATGAGGAAGATGCTATATCCCTGTTCTAAGTGCGGGAAATTGTTTTCTCAGATAAGTCTAGACTTTACATATATCAAAGATCTTACACAGGTGAAAAGCCATATGTCTGTCCTGAGTGCGGGAAATACTTTTCGGTGAAGCCTAGTCTTCACACACATCAGAGATCTTACATGGAGGAGAAGTTGTATACCTGTTCAGAGTGCGGGAAATGTTTTTTCAGAGAAGCCCTTTTCTTCATATACGACAGAGATCTCATATGGGGGAAAAGCCGTATTGGGAATAAGAGGGGAGTGAGAGCGGCAAAAGTACTGAGATTAATATATTGCATGGAAATTGAACTGTATGTATTGAACTATATGTTTAAATTGAGGAGGGGTTCACCCAGGGGGGTCTTAGAGGAAAATCAGAAGGAGGACAACGTAAAACAGATAAAGACCTAGAAGAAGAGGACCAGTTTGGTAGATCAGTTTGGGAGTGGGGGGAGAGAAAAAAGAAGAAAAGAACCAAGAGGAGGATACCCATGGAATATAACAAATTTTGATATCAAATCAAAAATAGACCCCCCCCCCCCCCAAACCAGAGCTGCGGAAAAATTAAATAGTCTCTGACAGCATGAAAAACAAAGTATCAAAGGGAGGAGGGCCTAAGGCTTCCCAAACAGGGTCAATTAAAAAAATACATACCCTCACAGGAGAAACAGACTCCAGAGAGACAACCGGGAATAAGTGTAAGAGGTGAGAGGGAAAACAGCGGGGAATGTTCCAGACTATCCTGAGAATAGCTAACAGTAGTTAACATATGGAAGAAGACGTGGATATGGATAAAGGAGAGCTCACAGATGCCTACTATAGCAGAAATGTTTAAAGGAATTAAAAGATCCCTAAAACAGGAACTGGCGAAATTACACAAAGAACTGGGGCAAATATTATCAAGGGTGGAGGAGACGGAAGAAAAACTAGACAAACATGCCCAAATTATACAGAAATTAGAAAAAACGGGTGATGGAAATGAGAAAAGAACAAAGAAATCTATTATATAAATTGGAAGACCAGGAGAATAGGGATAGGAGATGCAATCTAAGGATACGAGGCTTTCCACAGATCTCCCAAGGAGAAGATTTGATGGGAATAATAATGAGAATGCTGAATACTATAATGGATAGAACTATAGCAGACCCTCTCAAAATGGAGGGAGTATATAGAATAGGAAAATACATACAAGAAGATAGAAAGGAAAAGCCAAGAGATGTAATAGTGCAATTCCATAATTTTCGGGATAAAGAAGAGCTTTGGAAAAAGATAAAAGGAAGAGCAATAATAAAATATGGAGAAATAAATATACAGATCTTTGCTGATTTAGCAGCGGAAACATTAATAAGAAGGAGAACTTTGAAACCGTTACTGGAAACAGATGAGAAAAACAGAATGTTCAATACAGCTGGGGGTTTCCAGCGTGTGTGATCGGATGGAGAAATGGATGTTCAGCAAGACTGAGATTCCCTGAAGATCTGAGAGACTTTTGTGAGAGACTTGATATACAGAAAATAAATATCCCTGGTTGGGAGGAAGATGAAGGAGAAATGTGGGCTATGGAAAATGAGGGAGGGCAAATAGCTCTAAGGAGAAATAGAGAGTAGGAATAGTAAAGAGGAATAAGATGGGAGGGAGGGGGGTTCTCTTCCCCTTTTTTTTTCTTTCTCTCTCTCTCCCCCATTTCTGCCTCTCTCTTATGATCTTTGAAGTTTACTTTGTATGGCAGGACACGGAGGATGAGACATGCTTATTGGGGAGAAGTTCATGGTCAGAGCTTCACCTTAAAAGCTGAATCAAAGGTGGGGTTTAGGACCATAAATGATTCATAGGTAAAATGTAAAAAGCCTAAAGGGAGATGGGGTGGTGGGGGGGGGGGGAAGGGAGGGAGAGGAATGGGAGGGAGGGAGGAGGGGTGGAGGAGGGATGGGAGGGGATAGGTAGTTTAAGACTCTGCGAAATAGTGGGAGAAACATCAGTCTGGAGAAATCCTAGAGATCAAAGGGGAAGATGTGGAGAAAAGAGGAAGAGAGAAGAGATGGGGAAGATAGAGGTGTGGAGAGGAGAGAAGAATAGAAGAGATTCACTTTGTGACTTATAATGTTAAAGGGTTAAATAGCCCTGGGAAGAGATTTGGGATTTTTAAAGAAATTCAACATAGATTTTCTTCAGTGTTTTTTTTTTTTATAGGAGACACATTTGATGCAAGAATCAAATGTGAAATTAAATTACAGATATTATCCAATGTGTGGTTTTATGAAGATTCCCCAATTAAACGTGCCAAGGGAGTGGCAATAGGTTTTGCGAAAAATATAAGGTTTAAGCTGGAAGACAGATTGGTAGATCCAAAAAAGAGATTTCTGTTTCTGAAGGGAAAATGACAGGAAATAGACTGTACTCTAGCAAATATTTATTGCCCGAATAAGAAACCGGAGGTATTCCTAAAAAATACTCTGAGGAAGTTAATGGATTTTAAAAAAGGTAATTTAATTGTGGCAGGTTGATTTCAATCTCTGCATGGATCCCCAGATGGATATGATGCCCCCTGTGCAGAGAGATGGTAGTAGGTCTCTGAAATCCTTGAAAAAAATGATATACCAATGTCAACTTGTAGATATATGGAGAATTAAGCACATGAAGGACAGAAACTATACGTTTTTTTTCTCATGCACATGAGATGTATTCAAGACTGGATTATATATTGCTGGACCATCGACTTATTGAGTCTCTGGTCAAAGTAAAAATAGAAGTGATGTCAATATCGGACCATGCCACTGTCACAATGCAATTATTATAGGGAAATGAGCAGATCGGGGGGAAATTATGTAGGTTAAATGAGAAACTTCTCCAGGATTCAGAGGTGGATCAAAGAATAAAAAAAGAAATAAAGCAAATTTTTGAGGAAAATGATTCTGGGGAAGTGTCCGTAGCAACAGTGTGGAAGGCTCATAAGGCCTATATTAGAGGAATCCTGATAGTGATTGGAGCAAAAAAGAAGAGGGAAAGAAGAGAAAAAATAAACACGCTTCTTAGTGAACTCTGTGAGTTAGAGCAGATACATAAACATAAAGTAACAAAAGAGATTATGCAGAGGGTAATAAATAAAAGAGAAGAATTAAATACATTTCTGGAAGAAGATATGAGAAGAGTGTTCAATAAAATGAAAAGTGTGGAGAGATACAGATGGGGAGATAGACCAGGAAAGTATTTAATGAGGGCTCGGAGAAAAAAATCTAGGAACTATATAGAGAAACTATAAGAGACCACAAAGGAGAATTAATGTATTCAACTAAAGATATAGCTAAAGTGTTTCAAGAATATTATAATAAGCTATATAATATTATCCCCCACAGCTCCATAAGTAAAGATGAAGTAGGAAAAATAGAAAAAAGACAGACATATTTAAAAAAAAAGGCTGGATTACCAATATTAAGGGAGGAGCAATTAAAATCCCTAGAATCAGCAATAACGCAGGAGGAAATACATTTAGCATTAAAGAGCACTATAGCTGGGAAAAGTCTAGGACCTGATGGATACACAGTGAGATATTATAAAAAATATAAAGAATTATTAGTACCTAAACTGAGGATATATATGAATGCATTGAAAGGAGAGATGGAAATGAGGAGGGAATCCCTACAAGCTCATGTAGTTCTCATACATAAGGAAGGTAAAGATGATACTCACTGTTCAAGTTACAGACCGATTTCCTTATTAAACACAGATACAAAACTATATGCAAAAGTTCTGGCAAACAGGTTGAAAGACCTAATGTCAGAATGGATACACATAGACCAAGTAGGCTTTGTCCCAGGGAGAGAGGGTAGAGATAACGGACTGAGATCTCTGTTTCTCATACAAAAATGTAGGAAAAGAGAAAATCCCTGTGGTGGTACTCTCTATCGATGTTGAAAAGGCATTTGATAGAGTAGATTGGGGATATATTTTGGATACATTGGAAGTATTGGGGATGGGACCTAGAATGAGAGAGTGGATAAGGAAATTATTTAGTTAACTCTCTGCAGCAATCATGGTTAATGGGGAATTGTCCGAGTATTTTGGGATGCAGAACGGAACTAGGCCCTTTGTCTCCATTGCTATATGTTTTATCATTGGAATCTCTTTTGGCTACAATAAGGAATAATATAGATATAAAAGGAATTTGGATAGGAGATACGGAGCATAAGGTGGCAGCTTATGCAGATGACTTGCTGTTCTATGTCGGAAACCCTAGGATAACATTGCCAAATTTAATGAAATCAGTGAAAGAATATGGGGAGATGTCAAATTTAAAAATTAACCCAACAAAAAACAGAAATTTTAAACATAAATCTTCCAAATAGAGAGAAAAATAGGTTACAGGAGGAACTTCCTTTTGTTTGGAGAGAAAAAGAATTGAAATATCTAGGAATAAAATTAACTGTATCCTCTAAAAACTTGTATAAATTGAATTATATCCCATTGTTAAAATGAAATCAGGGATGAACTAAGGAAATTAGGAGGCGGAACCCCGTCATGGATAGGTCGTATAAATTTGATAAAAATGGTGATTGTTCCAAAAATATTACATAAATTTCAAATGATACCAATTAAACTACCAGAAGTATAATTTAGATCAATTAAACAAAAGTTAATAAGATTTATTTGGAGGAATAAAAACCAAGAAAAAAGCCAGGAAATGTTATGTAGAAATAAAGAGAAAGGTGGATTGGGAGTCCCAGATTTAAAAGATATTATAACTCGGTAATAATGGCGAGAATTTTTGACTGGACATATAATGCAGAGGGGAAAAAAGCTGGGTTAAAAATAGAAAATATACTAAGTAATACTAAACTAAGTGGAATTGTATGGTTATCTCCACAATACAGAGGATTAGCAGACAGTACAAGTATGTTCACATTTAATGTTTTAAGAGTTTGGGATGTTTTACACAAACAGATGGGATGGGAATTTAATTTATTGTTAATGCCCTTAAAGTCCACAGAGTTTTTCCCTCCGGGTAAAGAAGGTATCACAGGGAAGTGGATTAAGAAGGAAGATACACAATTAATGGATATAATGCTGGGGGAGGAAATAGGATCACTTAAGGAATTGGAAGAAAAAGGAGAAGTTTTTACGAGAATGGATGAGTGGCGTTTATTTCAATTGAAACACTTTATAGGAAAGCTTACAAAGCTTTTAAGAATAAGAGAGGATTGGAATCCTTTTGAGCACTTGTTTAGGTACACGGGGAGATGGGAAACACGGAACTTCTAACATATATAAGATTCTCACTGAAATAAACGCAGATATATGTCCTCCCTATAAAGAAAAATGGGAAAGAGAAATAGGGTTACAATAGATATGAAAAAACAGGAAAATGTATAGAATAATCCATGGAAATATAAATATGCAGCAGGTAGAAATGAATT